CAGCTGAAATGTAGCATTATGTCTGAGATGACTTCATTTGAGGAAACTCTTAACAGGTAAGTAATTAATGAGGCAGATAGAAACGCACAAACTTAATTTCTAGCTGTTTCCAGTGCATGTTCAGTGTGTATCGACAAGGCTGCCCGCCAGTAGCAAAGAGTTAACAAAACAAATAAAAACCATAAACATTACCTTTATAACTCCTTCCCCAGGCCCCATATCTGTGTAAATCTTGACGTTGTATGATATATTGGAGAAGGTTGGGGAATTATCGTTTGCATCAATCACCACGATATTGACCATCACTGGGGTACTCTCCTGCACGCCATCAGAAGCTATCATCTTCAGGAGGAAAAAAGGGCAGGCAAGAAACATAATTTAACAGTGTATTCTTAAGACAACTGCAACTATGAGAAAGCACAGTATAACAAGTAAAAAGCAGTATTTAGCTTTACATTTGTTTTCTAACACACAGCAAATTACAAGAAGCTTAGATTGAGCTTGAGTCAGCAGTGTGCAAGAAACAGGACAAAAGCACCTTCAAAAAGTACTGTGTCAGAAAAGCAGAAGAAATGAGAGGGAGTGACTGTGTTCCAGGGCTGGGATCTGAGCTGGCATGACGTGCAGCAAGTCCCCAGCTGTGCTGGACACCTTGAAGGAGCAGGACCTGGCCACAGAACACCGTCAACAGTGCATGTCTCAGGCACTGTAATATGTAGGATCTGTCATCCACCTATGTTGAATTTCAAAGACAGCATTTTAATGTGGGATGTGAAGAGCTAGAAGGTCGTCCTATGCCACAGACAAAAATCTGAATTCTCTCTCTTTTCAAATGTGTTTTGCCTATATATCCTTTTGCAAACTGGCTTAGAACTGTTCCAGGGTTTCCTGACTGACTGCTAACTGCCTCTACTAATACAGAAGTAGAAAGTAGAGACATCATGTTCCTAGCCCAAGGGCTACGAGAAGGCAAAGTTGGCCTCAAGGCCAAGCATAAAAGAGGAAGGTTGGACTGTATCATGGTGGGTGGCAAAGAGCAGAAAACAGGCCTGGAACCATTGATATGATGCCAATATAGGGGGATCTTAAATCTTGCTATCAAGCTGAAAACATGCTTTTTGGAAGAGAACACCGTGGGTAGTGCCACCACTTTGCCACTTCTTCTTCACCTCTGTCATTTTAATAACCTGCAGTGGTGTTACAACTAATTATTTTTCAACCCATGCTCTGACTGATGCCTGGTATGCCTTCAGAAGGACTGAGCTTACCGAGAAGGTGTAGAGGTGCTGGGCTTCTCTGTCAACAGGCTGCAGCAGAGTGAGGTAGCGGGTGATGCCACTCTGGGTCACAGTGAAAAAGGTATTGTAATCATTCAGGAAGAGATGGAGCTGTGGGTCCTTGGTCTTTAAAAAGAAACAAAACCACCACATTCTATTATTAATTCTTACACATCATTAAGTTTCCAGTTACTCAATGCATGTGCTAAGTCTCATCAAAACCTAAATACCCAGAAAGCAGAATACAACGATTGATGAATCCATGAAACTGTAAAAAAAAAAAAAAAAAGAGAATAATTAAAAAAGACAAGAAAAAAAAGCCCTTAACAAAATGTTACACACTGATCTGAAAAATCTTATCTGCTTGATGAAAGAGGTGTTAAAAATCTTTAATGTATAAGGTAAGTAAACCCAACCATGAGCAAATAACTATCTTCTTGTTTGAGATGACTTGTTCCTTTAAATAGATTTTCAAGCCTAATATAACTAACTTAACAGCAGCGAGAAACCAGATCCAAGTATCTGTTTTCAATCATACAGGAAACAAAACAAAACCTATGTGGATTAATGAAGCAGTAACACAGGTGGGCTGGTGCAGTGAAAAAGGATAATGATACGTGTTGAAACATACCACTAGACAAATGCTATTCAGGGATTTTCTTTGTCTTGGACAGAAATCAAAACATACTGATGCAAGATCTCTAATTTCTCAGTTGATCAGATCAAAACCATACTAGAACAATTATGGTAAAATTTTCAGTTTGGAAGTAACGTTTATGGTAACAACAACAAAATAAAACCAAATGCATTGTACTTTGTCAGTCAAGGCTTCTCTAGGCAGCCTGCTGGGGGGACATATTATGCACTGAGAGATTATACATTGCCCCCACAACCGGGCAAGCACCAATAGAGGTAATGTAATGCTGCTGCAGCATGCAAGACCACAGACAACAAACCTATCGTTACATACCCTGAGCAGGCAGAAATACCTTTTGGTGCAAATGGGATCTCAGCTAAGACAAAAGAGGAAGAAAATTCCTGCCATAGACAGAACCAGAAATTATTATTCAAAGAGAACAGAGCAGATAATTAAAGTCCAGAACCTCAAGCCAGTTCTGTCCTGAGCTTGCCACCTGGCTAAGAAGCTGCAAAATGGACTTGCTATCCTGAGTCCTTACCCCTCAGTCACTGGATGCCAGCACAGAACAAACAAAGGGGTTTTTAGCACCGTATTTCCTGGTGTTTTGAAAAGCCCTACAAACTACCACACTTCATTTATCTTTTGAAGAAAAGCTGTTGGAGCTGGGCTTCAACTTGGAGAAAAGGCCCTAAGGAGACTTCAGTGTACACCTTCCAGTATTTAAAAATGACTTTACATATAGACAGATAATGACAGTGCAAGGGAGCATGGTTTTTTAAACTAAAGGGGGAGATTTAAGTTAGCTATTTGGGAGAAAATTTTCACTTAGAGGGTGGTGAGGCCCAGGCACTGCTGTCTAGAGAAGCTGTGGATACCTCATCTCTGAAGGCATCCAAAGGAAGGTCCCTGGGCAGCCTGATCCAGTGGGGGGTAGCTAGCCCATAATAGGGGGGTTGCAAATGGATGGGCATTAAGGTTCCTTAGAACCCAAGCCATTCACAGAATCACAGAATGGCCAGGGTTGGAAGGGACCTCAAGGATCATGAATCTCCAACCCCCCACCACACGCAGGAACACCAACCTTCACATTTAATACCATCCCAGGCTGTCCAGGGCCCCATCCAACCTGGCCTTGAACACTTCCAGAGATGGACAGGGCATCCACAGCCTCTCTGGGCAGCTGTTCCAGCACCTCACCACACATTCTGTGATTTTCTGTTATTGAAATGACAGAAGTGCAAATTGTGACCAGGACTAAGTATTTATGTTATAATCCTCCATCTCTTTAGAGATAATTTTGTGCTATTAACATGATTAGACTGCAAAGGTTATTTCACATTGCAATTAAATTTGAAAAAAAACAACAACATTATCTCTTATTGCCTTCTGTATTCCAATAAACATATCTATGCCCTTGTATGTTAATTTAATCCTAACTCAATACTTTACTCTCAGTTACTCTTCAGTTTATTTCTGTTATATGAGGTGATGCGAGATTATATGGGAAGAAAGAAAATGCTATTTGGAAAACACAAAAGGCTATGGGACGAGCTACGTAAAAATTGTATCAAACCGTCCCATATGACGTGGAGATGAGGCTATTACGAAGAACAAAACTTAACAGAAAATCCAGTGGCTGCACAAAGCATGACTTGACAAGTAGTTTTACCAGCTGTTTTTCACTGCAATGCTACAGAATGTGCCCTGTATAGAGTAAGATGCAATGGTTAGCTACATTTAACGCATTATCCAAAGAAGTAGCATTATATTATTCACTGAATGATTTCTCATTCTCATCTGATTCTCTGAATCTGAAATGCTTCTAGAAAGTTAACACCTGCCTTGTTATTATTGTCATTTTACAGGAATGAAAAAAGAAAACAGACTATAGGAAAGTTCACCAGTCCCTACAACCCAGCAGGCAAAGACACTCTAACTCTAACATGCACTAAAAGTCATAATAGACAACTATGAGGACAGACTGGGACAATGGAAGGAGAAAGAAATTTATTTTTAGCAATCCAAAATACTCTGAAGCACCTATTTTTGGAAGGCTAAGATTTTAGTATTCAAACGTAAAACCATCTCAGTTACTGAATGCTACTTGAAAGAAATATCAAAGTGTTCCAAATCAATGGTTTTCTACTGCCCAAAGCTTTGCTATAACTAAGCCAACTTTCAGTAAAATTAAAATGCATTTTACACCTAGCAATGCAAATGGTAATCTCTTTCTTTCCATGCAAAATTATGGAAGGTAACTGCCAATAACTGTTCACTTTGTAGACAGGATAAAGTCAGTCAAAAGTTTAATTTCCAAATGCTCTGGCTGGTTGTTTGCGTTCTTGCTTGTCATATCATTAATACACCGTACTTTTTCCTCTAATTTGTTATTGAGAAAAAACAATGGATAATAGATAATTCTATACACTCCAAAAGTCATCTATCCTATTCCTTAGCTATTTTTGTCTTAAAATTTTTTATCCCAGTGTCTACATTAAATCAAATTTAATGCAATAAGTACCTGTTTTTACCATTCCTATGCGTGTTGGGCATACAAAACAATTTATTTTCTTAATATTTGCAGTGCTTTGCCTTTACATTTTTAACACGCTTCATGCTGAAAGAAAGTCTGCATGACTGTGCACACATCACCTGGCAGATACTATGAATGAACACAATTATGGGAAACAACTCATTCATGCTGCCTACAAAATTTCTCATGCTTTAGTTTCTTAAACTATTACTTCAGGTGGCCTTGGATTGACCACTGATACCTAACCAAACTCCTGATAGATGTAAACTGGTTTGTATCTAATAAATTGTTTAGCGCATGATTTTAAGCAGAAAACTATCAGAATCCACGTGACTGAGTAAACATGTGACCTGCAAGGACTATTTCAAGCACACAGTGCAAACCAAAGATGGTTTACGTGCTTTAGACCTCTCAGTAGACTGTATGGGAACTGCTGAGTCATGGCCTGAACCTCTGATTGATCACCTGAGGTGAGCAACAAGTCAGCCAGAGGAGCACAGGTGAAGGCAATTCACCTGTGCTGCCGGAAGGGGTGGGGCCAGGTTCCATCTCTCCTAGACCTATTTAAGAGCTGGCTACCAGTAAGGAAGGATCTCTTCTGGAGATTGGCTCTGCTGGAGTTTTGTGAGTGAGCCCAGGATAGTGGTGAGCCTTCTATTTATCCTCTTTTTGTTATCATAATCTGCTTTGTCAAACTCTCTTGCTTATTTCATAATTATAACACCTTAATATTCATTGATTATACAGTAGACACTTCTTAAAGGAAAAAGAAAAAAAATACTTTCTGTAATAGTGAAGATGTGTATAAAATATATATAATTATATAAAGAGCATAAGACAATTCTAACATAGGCATGGCACAACTCTTCTGAATCGCACAGGTCTACATCCCAGATGAACTTGATCTGGTGTGTTTAAAGGCTCTTTGCAAACTTCAGGACAGGAGTGATATTCTCAGTCTCACAGAAACACTGACGGGGCAGAGAATAATGAAGGACAGGGGAAAACACCTAAACCGCACAATTCCAACCAAAAATCATTTTGCAAACATAATACCCCTACCTATGGGAATGGCACCTGATACGAGCTACAAAGCAAAAACACCTATGCAAAATGAATGCAAGTAAAGAAACATAAACCTACCAGTGATGAACGTTGTATAAAAACAGTACACTTTGGAGAAAAAAAGGTTATAGACAAAAATACGAGATGCAAAAAGTGCTCCCATGCACTACTGACAAACAAAGCCTGGGTTTAAGTTCATTCTGCTTGAATTTTTCACAGAAACAAACTAAAGTTTGAAAACTTGTGCTGATGTTTATGTTACCTTTCTCATTTTCTTTTCCACTCATCGGAGCTTACGACTCCTAGAAGAAGCAGTTTTCTACACTTTACTAAGATCAAAGCAAAATTGCATGATATTGTCCAGAATGAATGAACAGACAACATGTTTCAACATTCCAAAGGACTCAGCTGAAAGAATATATTTGGCTGTTAATTTCTCCAGGGAGCCAGAACAAGCCCCAGCTCCACTGAGTATTTCATGATTTGGGCATTTTTCCTGCTTCATTTCATTATGTTCACTTTTCAGATTTATGGAAAGACAGTCCAAAATCCAGGAGTGATTTGTGCATCAGAAAGGAAAAAAGGAGTTTGCTTTGGTTGCTAAATACTGGCTGTGCCAAGACTAACCACTACCTAATCCCTTCAGTGCTATGAAGAAACACAAAAATGCCAATCTTGGAGGAAAATAGGCAAGGAGTTCTGCAGGGCCTGATGAGCCTGCTTCTCCAGGTTCACAGTAGCTTGGATTGAGCAGAAAAGGTAGACACAGTGTCTCAGTGCTTCTCCTACACCTTCAACTTTACTATTAAGATATTATGAGACTAAAGCGCACTCTGAACATGAGCTGACAGTGTGCCCAGGTGGCCCAGAAGGCCAATGGCATCCTGGCTTGCATCAGAAACAGTGTTGCAAGCAGGAGCAGAGAGGTGATTGTTCCCCTATATTCAGCACTGGTGAGGCCACACCTTGAGTACTGTGTCCAGTTTTGGGCCCCTCACTGCAAGAAAGATATTAAGGCCCTGGAACGTGTTCAAAGGAGGGCAACAAAGCTGGTGAGGGGTCTGGAACACAGGCCATATGAGGAGAGGCTGAAGGAGCTGGGAATGTTCAGCCTGGAGAAGAGGAGGCTCAGGGGGGACCTCATTGCTCTCTATAACTTCCTGAAGGGAGGTTGTAGTGAGCTGGGGGTCGGCCTCTTCTCTTGTGTCATTAGTGATAGGACCAGAGGGAATGGCTTCAAGCTACGGCAGGGGAGATTCAGGCTGGACATGAGGAAGTATTACTTTTCAGAAAGGGTGGTCAGGCACTGGAATGGACTGCCCAGGGAGGTGGTGGAGTCACCGAGCCTGGGGGTGTTCAAGGAAAGGCTGGATGTTGTGTTGAGGGACATGGTTTAGTGGGAGCTGTTGGTAATAGGTGAACGCTTGGACTGGATGATCTTTTAGGTCTTTTCCAACCTTGGTGATTCTATGATTCTATGATCTCATAAGTTTTCATGATCATAGAATCACTGAAGTGGGAAAAGACCTCCAAGCTCATCCAGCCCAACCGGTCATCTATCATCAGTGTTCCCCACTAACCTATGTCTCTCAGCACCACATCTAAACGTTTCTTGGACACCTCCAGGGACAGGAACTCCACCACCTCCCTGGGCAGCCCATTCCGGCACCATCACAGAATTGTAGGGGTTGGAAGGGACCTCCAAAGATCATCAAGTCCAACCCCCCTGCCAAAGCGGGTTCCCTACACCAGGTCGCACAGGCATCCAGGCAGGTCTTGAACATCTCCAGAGGAGACTCCACAACCCCTCTGGGGAGCCTGTTCCAGTGCTCTGTCACCTCACCGAAAGAAGTTCTTGAGCACATTGGTGCGGAACTTCCTATGCTGCAGTTTCCAGCCGTTTCCCCTTGTCCTGTCTCCACTCACCACTGGAAAGAGACTGGCCTCACCACTATGGCCCCCACACCTCAGATATTTATAGACCTGGATCAGGTCCCCTCTCAGTCCTCTTTTCTCAAGGCTGAACAGACCCAGTTCACTCAGCCTTTCTTAATAGGAGAGATGCTCCAGGCCCTTCACCATCTTTGTGGCCCTTCACCATCTTTGTGGCCCTCCACTGGACTCTTTCCAAGAGATCCCTGTCTTTTTTGTACTGGGGAGCCCAGAACGGGACACAGTACTCCAGATGAGGCCTCACCAGGGCAGAGTAGAAGGGGAGGATCACCTCCCTTGACCTGCTGGACACGCTCTTTTTAATGCACCCCAGAATGCCATTGGCCTTTTCGTCCACAAGGGCACACTGCTGGCTCATGGCCAACCTGCTGTCCACCAAGATGCCCAGGTCCCTGTCTGCAGAGCTCCTCTCCAGCAGCTCATCCCCCAGCCTGTATTGGTGCATGCCATTATTCCTCCCTAAGTGTAAGACTCTACACTTGCTTTTGTTGAACCTCATCCGGTTTCGTACTTTCGTAGAAGAAATTTTTCCTAACATTCTACCTGAATTTCCCCTGGTGAAACTTGAGGCTGACGACTTCAGCTGTACAGCTTTTCAGGCAAACAGAACCCATGGAGTAGAACAATAAGTAAAAATCCTGAGTAAGCAACAGAGATAAAAGCCAACCTGAAAAAATTTTGTCAGGGTACATTATGAATTTTTTTGTTTTTCCTATTTAACTACTTTTATTTCTTCAAAGTAAGGTCATTAAATGATACTTAATTGTACAACTTAAAACCAGCAACAGCAAAGAAACGTCCACCATTTATGCCATCTCCGCTTAGGAGGATATTATGCCAGAAGACTAACAAGAGAACCAAAGTTGATGCTGAGCAATACTTTATTTCCAAATTCTTTCAGGATTCAAAAAGGAAAGAAAAACTGTCTTTATAAATCCTAAAGAAAGAAAAGCAATATTCCTTTCTCTTTTGGTAGTGTTAATGGTGATATTAAGGGACTGTTACATTCACGAAGACTATTTTCTGAATTAATATTTTGTAATGTGACTGTTAGAATGTCACAGAAGTGCCATACAGGGACAGCAGTAGTTTGAAAACGCACCTCTAGGGAAAATAATGGCTGCAAAACAAGTTCAAACAACAACAGTGTAAGTAAGATACAAGCAATCAGGCAAAAATCAGATCAAAATGCTTTGGTATTTAAGATGTCTCAGTATTTCTGGCTTATGGTAGGAATCAACTGTTCCTCCTTATCTGCATATGTTCATGAAAATCCATAACCTTTTAAGTTATATTTCAAATTTGTCCATTCACTCATCAGAAATCCATATTTACTAAGTGCACTCACTTATTCTTTGTTTTGCCCTTTTGGTTTGGGATGGAGGCACCTTCATGTAAAACAATCTTTCCTTTACGTTTTCCTTTACGTGTTCTCTAAAAGCATGAATGCTGAGCAACTACCAACCTAGTCTGACTTCAACTTCACGGACATGAAGGATAAGGCAAGAACATGATCTGATGAGGAACGGAGGAACTCCCCTGCCTCGGGATCTGCAGAAGCATCTGGGTTACTACACAGATGCTTTATGAATGCATACTGGCACACGTTAATGCCTCTGAACATAAGCTGGTACACTTTATAAACATGCCACTGTTTTGAGTTCTAATGAGCAATGCACAAATTACCTTGCTCCTCGAGTTTATTCATCATGACACTGTGTGTGGTATCAGTGAACAGCCTGGCAGTCAAGCAGCAGTAATAAATGTGAATGCTGATTAGTTTATTTTGACTTTGAAATTAAATCCTGTCTTTTAACATGGTTTTATTTTTTTGTGCGCTTCTATGAGATTCTACAAGATTCAGCACACAAGGCAGTTTCTGTACAGTGTTTTTCCTCAACCTTTTAAAAGGAAGTATCAGAAATTAGTATTCTCCTGAGGATGCAAAAGAGTGAGGAAGCAAGTGTCTTGAGAAGCCTTTTGTAAACATCAGTCAGACCATTCAGTTTATAATTCCTATCTCACCTTCAGTTTACTTTGGTCTTAAGGTACTCATGTAGCTTAATTTAATTTATGCCATTTAAACAGACTACTTTAATTATATCAGCATTTGACAGTGCTGTTCTAGTTAAAGGCCCATTTGAAATGTCACATCTATGAATTAATTTTTGGAAGGTTTATAGCAGGACCACATTATAATTCCTAGGAGATTTACATTTAGAAGCTGAGTTGTATTTGCCTAAGATATACAGTTATGATGACCACTTTCTTCATACATATAATCTGAGGGCAGGGAGTTACTTCAGTAAGAAATACTATCTTGGCTGATTTGTCAATTAGAAGACCAAATACACTATCTTTGGTCCGTGCCACTACTGGAAAATAACTTGCACCAGCATGTAGATGACTTATGTCAACTTCTCATCAGAAATCCCTATTTTCTAAGAGCATCAATTTACAGTACGGGCTGCTGAGACAGAGCAACTCTTCACTCCTCTTGCCATGTTTGGGAACTGAGCCCTGCCTCTGAAAGCTATCCTTCCTTATGGGAAGTGACCCAGTGGGTACAGAGCCATCCTAGCAGCAGGGAGAAGGGCAGACCACGAGGGTCACTGGGCAGGCTTTTGCATCCATCCTGCCCTGGCACATGGCATCAAATCTCAGCAGGGCCAGAGATTTTCATTATTTTGTCTTCACTTCTGGAGCGGACCGGGGCTGGAATCAAAATTACCATTTTTGCATAGTGCTGGTCAATCCTGACTTGAGTATAGGAACAATGCAAAGCAAAAATAGATGTCCCTGCTGCAGGGTGAGCAGCATGCAGCCTGGCACAAGGATACTCCCTGCCCAGTCCTGCTCCCAAATGGAGTCAAGACACCAGAGCAGCGCAATCCCAATGCCTGAAACTGTAGCTGGGCAGAAGAAGAGAAGCCCACGATAGAAGCAGATAGCAGTAGGGTTTTGGGAACTGCATGCCCGCTACTTAGTGGTGGAAGACTACTCCTACGATTCTGTTGAGAAGCACGGATCAGACTACCCAACCACCCAGCCCACTGGGATCAATGCTTTGCAGACAATTTATTTTTCTTTCTTATCTTCTGTTCTTTAAGGAATTATGGCGATTTGCCTTAGTTTAGAGAAGTTTATTGTTTATTATTCATCTTTCAATATTAAGACTACGTTTCAGAACTTGCATCAAATCAGGCTTTCTTTTAATCTGATTTATTCCTTTTTTTTTTTCTTCTTTTTTTTTTCTTTTCAAACAAATACAGGAAATTTGAGGGAAATTCACCACAAAGCAGTACTGGTTAACTGTGATTCAGGCTGCAATTCTGACACCTTTCCAGACAATTTCACTGCTATGGAGAAGCACAGACGCTTGAATGCTTCAGCAAGAGACCTTGCTCCCTTTTAAATTTCATTTGAATTTCAAGTTTCATTTGAAATATTTTAATAGATTAATGGACTTGCAATGAATCAACACAAAAGAGCAGAAGCAAGCTTCTATTATGCAATACCTTTTGCAAATTGTCCCAGTTGTCCATCACACAGCAGGAGGCTGCATTAGCATTTGGTGCCACATCATTTAATAGCCCAGAAAGACCTGGTAGTTATTCATCACACAAAACTGAAATATTAACCTTTTTCAATAATATACAAATATCAGAAGCTGGGATACTTTTGGCTGTACTGCATTTTGAATCATGTAAATGAATGTTTGTCCTTAACTTATGGGTATTAGGAAAGGTTCTTCACCAGAGTGTGGTGAGCACGGAACAAGCAGGAGATGCAGAGCCCTGTGGTCAAACCCACTTGCAATATAGATGATTTTGAGCTATTAAATGCTGAGTTTTCAGTCTCACGTATAATGCAGCATATAGCAACAACAGCAAAGAACCTTATGTGATCAAACCTGCCTTTGACATCTTGTGGTCGGAAATTTACAACCACCAGGGAAAGTGCAAGTTGAAAAGAGCACTGATAACTACTAATCTGAAAAAGCTCTGGAGGTTAATGAAGATGAAAGTCCTTCGTCCATTCCCTTGGAAGGTGCAAGAGTATCTTCTAGGAAACAGGAGAGAGTCTGAAATATTTCAAGCACAACTGATGCAGTCCCTCCTCACCAGCCATGCCACAGGACTTCATTTACCCCTGCAGACCCTGTACACACAGTAGGATTTTCCTAGGCAACCACAGATGTAAAAGCCATAAGGACACATAGCTCTCAGGTGCTTGACCAGCAGTGGACTCACAGATATGGAAACACCAGCAGCACACCACATAGTAATAGCCAGATTTATGTACTATTTTCACCTGTCCACCTCTCAACCCAGCAGCAAGGCAACCCAGGTAGAAGTGGTTCTCAACCAGCTCTCCAGCTTGCAAAAATCCCTATTCTGGGTTTAGAATCATAGAATCATAGAATCACCAAGGTTGGAAAAGACCTAAAAGATCATCCAGTCCAAGCGTTCACCTATTACCAACAGCTCCCACTAAACCATGTCCCTCAACACAACATCCAGCCTTTCCTTGAACACCCCCAGGCTCGGTGACTCCACCACCTCCCTGGGCAGTCCATTCCAGTGCCTGACCACCCTTTCTGAAAAGTAATACTTCCTCATGTCCAGCCTGAATCTCCCCTGCCGTAGCTTGAAGCCATTCCCCCTGGTCCTATCACTAATGACACGAGAGAAGAGGCCGACCCCCAGCTCACTACAACCTCCCTTCAGGAAGTTATAGAGAGCAATGAGGTCTCCCCTGAGCCTCCTCTTCTCCAGGCTGAACATTCCCAGCTCCTTCAGCCTCTCCTCATATGGCCTGTGTTCCAGACCCCTCACCAGCTTTGTTGCCCTCCTTTGAACACGTTCCAGGGCCTCAATATCTTTCTTGCAGTGAGGGGCCCAAAACTGGACACAGTACTCGAGGTGTGGCCTCACCAGTGCTGAATATAGGGGAACAATCACCTCTCTGCTCCTGCTTGCAACACTGTTTCTGATGCAAGCCAGGATGCCATTGGCCTTCTTGGCCACCTGGGCACACTGTTGGCTCATGTTGAGCATCAACCAACACCCCCAGGTCCATTTCCTCTACGCAGTCCTCCAACCACACTGCCCCAAGCCTGTAGCGTCGCCTGGGGTTGTTGTGGCCGAAGTGCAGGACCCGGCATTTGGCCTTGTTGAAACTCATCCCATTGGCTTCAGCCCAGCTCTCCAGCCTGTCCAGATCCCTCTGTAGGGCCTCGCTACCCCCAGGCAGATCCACACTTCCAGCCAATTTGGTGTCATCTGCGAATTTACTGAGGGTGCACTCGATGCCCTCAACGAGGTCATCAATAAAGATATTGAAGAGGACAGGCCCCAGCACCGACCCCTGGGGAACTCCGCTCACGACCGGTCGCCAGCTGGATTTGACTCCATTCACCACCACTCTCTGTGCCTGGCCCTCCAGCCAGCTCCTTACCCAGCCAAGAGTGTATCCATCCAAGCCTCTGGCTGCCAGCTTCTGCAGGAGAATGCTGTGGGAGACAGTGTCAAAGGCTTTGCTGAAATCTAGCTAGACCACATCAACAGCCTTTCCCTCATCCACCAGATGGGTCACTAGATCATAGAAGGAGATCAGGTTGGTCAAACAGGACCTGCCCTTCATGAACCCATGCTGGCTAGGCCTGATCCCCCGGTCATCCCGCACATGCCACATGATCTCCCTCAAGACAATCTGCTCCATAACCTTCCCTGGCACCGAGGTCAGGCTAACAGGCCTGTAGTTCCCCGGATCCTCCTTACAACCTTTCTTGTAAATGGGAGTCACGCTGGCAAGCCTCCAGTCTTCTGGGACCTCACCAGTCAACAAGGAGCGCTGACAGATGATGGAAAGCAGCTCGGCTATCACCTCCGCCAGTTCCCTCAGAACAGTTTAGAATATGTCCATTCAGCATACCAACCTGTCAGTCTCACAGACAGACCTACTCGGTTTCAGTCTTTCACTCTTCAAGTGATTAATCTTCTACATTTTTGTGAGGTCAGTGTATGTTAACAAAAGCATGTTATAAAGATGCTCTAAAATTCCAGATTTCTGCAGTCAACAGCCCTTTGTGGAAATAACCAGAACTGTCTCCACACCCCTTTGTGGAAATAACCAGAACTGTCTCCACACCAAAGCAAATCTGAACCAAAGGGTTTTACTAGTATTTTCATGGAGCTATAGATAAGACAAAACACTGGTATTTTAGGCAAAAGATAGCTAAAAACATCCCAATAATTTTTAATGCACATATGAATCACAGCCCTGAGAGAAGTTACCTTATTAGTAGCTCCAAAAGGACTTAGCCATGGGCACTAATTCTTATGAATTTTTTGTTGTTGTTGCATTCAGGAAAACTGAGCTTCACACATTATACAAGTACAAACTACATTGTGTCCTATGAATATAAACATGCACCTCTTACTTGCACCTTACTTATTCCTAATTGAAGCAATCTACAAGCTCTTGTTACTTTGGTCCAACAACAGAGCCCCCTGATTTTAACAAAAGCAATGCTGAAGAAGAGTATTTCACATATAGCAACAGCAGTCATTAGCAATGCCTGCTGTTGGCTGCCAACGCACTTGTTCCTTAACTTTCATACCGCCCCTAAGAATCACAGCATCCTTTGAGTTGGAAGGAACCCTAAAAGGTCATGTAGTCCAACTCTCTGTCAATGAACAGGGACATCTGCAGCTAGATTAGGTTGCAGAAAGCCTGGTTCAGCCTGACCTTGAATACCTCCAAGGATGGGGCATTCACCACATCTCTGGGCAATCTGTGCTTCACCAAGATTATTGTAATAGACTTTTTCCTTATATCCAGCCTAAATCTCCCTCCCCAAGAACACTTCCCCTTGTTCTGCCTCCACAGACCATGCTAAAAAGTCTGTCCTCCCTTTCCTGTAGCTCCCCTTTAAATATTGAAAGGCTGCTCTCAGGTCACCTCTCAACTTTCTCCAGGCTGCACAGCCCCAGCTCTCTCCACCTATCCTTATAGGAGAGGTATTCCATTCGTTGGATCATTTTTGTTGCCCTCCTCTGGTTGTACTCCAACAGGTTCACATCTCTCCTGCACTGAGGACTCCACATCTGGACTCAGCACTCCAGGTGAGGCCTCACCAGCACAGAGTAAAGGGACAGTATCACCTCCTTTGACCTGCTGGCCATGCTGCTTTGGATGCAGCCCAGGATATGGTTGGCTTTCTGGGCTGCGAAGGCACATTGCTGACGCATGTTCAGCTTTGCATCCACTGGTACCCCCAGGTCCTTTTTGGCAAGACTGTGCTCCATCCTCACATTCCCTAACTTGTACTAATAGTGGGGGTTGGCATGACCCAAGTGCAAGACCTTGCACTTGGATTTGTCGAACCACATGAGACTCTCCTGGGCCCATTGCTTGAGCCTGTCTAGGTCTCTCTGAACACAAAGCTGAACACACAGCTTGGTGTAATCAGCAAACAGTTTATTTATCAAGTTGCAGGCATTGGTGTAGAAACACTGCAGCTGGGTAGTTGGTCATGTCACCTTCTTGGAAAGTAACTCCTTAGTTCCTTTGAAGTATTTAGCTTTAGCCTCTCTTTTGTCTTCATCATAACATGCAGCTCGTTGAGGGCCTCCATTAGCACCTTATCCCTCTAACTTAGCTCTGTCGCCTGTCGTCTTGTCATGTGCAGGCTCACCACCACTCCCTTCTCCCTTCAAACCTAGTTCAAGCCCTATCAGCGACTTCAGACAAATCCTGGGTCAGAATTCTTTTTCCCCTATGACCAAGGTGGATCCCATCAGCTGCCATTGGGCCATGCGCTGAATCAACTGGTTGAAAAAGCCAAAATTTGTCCGGTGGCATTAGCCTCTTCACTATGTATTTATCAGATGAGTCCCCCTGGTCTTCTCAGTATCCCTCCTTGGCACTGAAGGGATAGAGGGGAACATCACCTGTTCTCTCGTTCTCCCTACTGCTAAACTATAAAAATCTCTAGAAACCGTAAGCCTACAGCTCAGCTTCCCTTAGGTATCCACAGATAACAACAGAACAGTGTATGGGAACTGCTGAGTTACGGCCTGAACCTCTGATTGATCACCTGAGGCGAGCCATGAGTCAGCCAGAGGAGCACAGGTGAAGGCAATTCACCTGTGCTGCTGGAAGGGGTGGAGCCTGGCTCCTAGACCTATTTAAGAGCTGGCTACCAGAGGGGAAGGATCTCTTCTGGAGATCACCCCTCTTGGTGTCTTCTGGTGAGCTCAGCCGAAGGGTAAGCTCTTCCACTAATTCTCTTTTGTGATCGTTGTTTACTTTGCCTAATTCTCTTGATTATATTGTAATCATAACACCTTGATATCTATTGATTATACAATTATATTGTAATTATAACATCTTGACTATACAAACAGAAACAAAACAAAAAAGTAAAGATGACTGCTGGAGAGACAACGGTGAATAGGGCAAAAGGAAACACCAACAAATAAAAGATATGATAGCATCAACGTTTGGACCAGAAGAAAAGACGGTCATACAGACTTTGCATGATTACTATCTGGTTTACAACTCTTTTGGACATGTTCAATTTTAACCATGAAAGATGATAGTATCAAAACCTGAGCTGAGGAAAGAACAAAATGAGCACTTAGCCTCCTTTTTTCTTGTTCCCCATCTTATGAATTGTGCATGGAATTAATAATTCCTTCCATTTTGAGTTTCTCTTTCTCATTTCCTCATACACTGTGGAAGATCTACCCTTCTCATGAAATGCATTTCTTCTCCAATTTGCGCTATGCACCCATTTTTAACAGAAGGCAGTTAAGCATAGCTAGGCAAAAAAAAAGAAAGTTAGCTTCCCAGTTCATGATCACTTTTAAACCCATTTGAACTCAATGAAAAGAAATCCACGTAATAGTAAATAGAAGTTTTTTTTTAAAAAAACTGTTAAGCTTTCAATAAAAACATGAAAAAAAAATCCAGGAAACACTAGCATGAGAATATTTAAGTTTCTACTTAAGACTAGAAGCTTCTTATAGAGCGACATACCTCCTCAACATCGTTGTCCAACACTGTGATTTGCAATGGAGAGGTCAGATTCCGGCTATCTGAGATGGTTGTTCCCACTGGGGAGGATTCAAGGATAAAGCCCTCGTATGTAGATTTTGTAAAGTAAGGTTTCTGATTGTTCTCATCAAGGACTTCAATATGCAAATTGGCAAAGGCAGGAAGAGGATGGCCGTTGTCTTGTTCAGCCTAAAAAATAACAGAAAGCTCATCTGTCAAAGGGTCTCACAGACAGTGAAGTAAAATTATGAACAATTACTAACCAGTGTTGGCTTGCTTTTATTCATTACAATCCAGTTGCACATCACATAGATCACTGTGTTATGAGATCTTGCAACGGGAAATAAAGAAATGCCAATGACAAATTACATAGGCTGTAAGAGCGATAATAGTTTCAGTTACAGTAACCTCTACAGTCAAAATAAAACTCAGAAGCTATACAATACACACATGGAATCTTTCCTCACAGTATTAAGAGTTTGGGAAAATCCAGAAAGGAAGAAAGAAAATTGGAAACTGCTGACTCTGTACGACATAATTTGCACCTACAACATCAGCAAGAGAGTTAAACCAGAATGTAATAACAGTAGCTGTGGATATAGAGTTCTTGCTATGGATTTCTGGGTATGACAGTTTCTTTTCCTCACACACCCATCTTTATAATGGTAAGAGGAATTTTAATTTTATCTTTGTGTATTTAAAATGTCAAGCAAGATCACTCCTTTCTATTACTACTTGTCACCTTCCAACAGCCATGCCTCCCCTCTTGAGTATGAGTCACTGGTAGTTTCACTTGATCTACTGTTATTTTCAAACTTCCTACATACAGAAGCACTATTTTCTCCTTCCAGCATGCAAATCCACTATGTTTGGATGGATTTACTCTTTTTTTCCAGTGACTACCTATGATCAATTAAGGCAAATACAAGCATGGAAGGCAGAAGACAGGTAATTTGTTCTTCAATTTATAAAAGGCAAACCAATTTTAATTACAGTACTGCTCACAACTCTGCAAAAAGACAACAGCAGAGTACTGTCAGTTTCACACTCCTACAGCTTTATTTTCAACATCTGTAGGTAAGCAGAACCCAACATTGCAATAGTAGTACTATATCTTTCTGCAGGCATGGGAAGTCTGTAGTATAACAAAATGTTGAAGAGTTAAATATTTCTGAAGAGACAGAGCAGTCCCTAATCCATTATTAACTATACTTACAGTTTGCAGAGATTTTATTTTCATTCTGGTATTTTGCCTGTTACAGGTAATTCCTTGTTTTTTTTAAATCCTCATTTCTTAAGTCCAACACCTTAGGAGCCTCCTTCTGGAAACCCACAATTTTTATTCCAGCAACAATTTACTTTTTCTTTCCTCTTTAAACTGTTCTGTTTCTTACATTTTCTTTGGTCAAAAAAATGTTAATTCGATACAGAGCTCTGCTTTGTTAACAGAGGAATTACAGTTGAAATAGTATGAATAACAGAAAAAAAAATACGGTTTATGATGAACACTGCAATTTGAAGTAAAAAAAAAAAAGTGTAAATATCAAAATTTTGCTCAATAATTAATAAGAAACTCATTCAGAAGACTCAGCAAGAATGTATTTTCCACTTGGCAGAGACGAGTAACAATGAGACTGTCAGAGATTTAAAGCAACTCCCAACCTGCTTCTACATGGTTATTTTCTTACTGCCAAGGTGAGATCTGGCAAGTGGGTCATGCATAACCAGGCACTGCCATCTGAAATTAATGAATCTTTTCTGATGGGGTTATGTTTGGCTAAAGAAAGAAAACCCTATCGAAGAAATTGCAAGTTCTGCTGATTACTTCACTAGTAGATCAAAATTTCAGTAATCAGGTGCAGGAGGTGACATACTGTTCTTCGTATGTGTTTCAGATGATCCAAGCAGAGGTGACCACTGTGATGTCAGAAGAGCTATGTTATTCCCCAAAAGAACATGCTTCACTGACAAAATGACTCACCCTTCAAACCAACCAAAGGTGGATATTCTATGAACAAGTGGGCTCGCATTTCTGCAATGAAGATGGCTTAGATTGATGATATACAATCGTAAGGAGGCATTAATAGAGAAAAAAAGAACAAGTGTGCTATGAAGCCCTGTCGATACTAATCCATACTGAAATGAAGACTTAAGACTCTCACAGTCAGTAAACCTATCTCTAAGATAACAGCAGGTACCTTCACGCTAACATCAAGATTCACAGAATTAAGACTCAGACAACTTCTGCTTTAGATAGGTGAATAGAAAAAGAAAAAAAAAAGGGCAAAGTAATGCAAAAAGTATTAAATTACTCATTTGTTACATATTATATATTTATTACCTATTGTGTATGTTTTATACTGAAACATCATCAACTTTACTTATTCAAAGCACTGGACAAAGCAGTTCACTGAAAGAGGAAATGAAAGCAATGCAATAGACTTCACCATTAAACAACACCAATATAAACAACAGGCTGCCACAGACACCAATGGAGACCAACAAGAGGGGTACTGCCTGGCTGGCACCCCACCTATCTGTACACCCTGTCAGCTGGGTCAGCTTTTTGGTGGGGGGTACAAGCATCTCAGTGAGAACCACAAACACGTAATTCTGCTGACATAATTGCCCTTAAGCCTTGATCTCATCTCCTTTTCATTAAAATGCTCTGAACTGCCACTGGTTATACCCTAGCATTTTGCACAGCACAGCAAAAGAAGGAAAAGCCTCTGGGAAACACGTCAGAGCCCACTGGAAAAGCTATAATTTGCAAAAAAGTGGGCAGGCCATTCTCTGTTTAGCACAAGAACAAGGGAAGAGCCCTGGAACTTCAGACATTCAAACTTAAACTTGACTTTCCAGCTGTGAAGAAGACGGAAACATTATAAAGCATTTAAACCAATATAATTGAAAAAGAGCAGTCAGCACAGGAAAAGGAAGGTCAGGTCTGAAAAGCTTAATTTTAATTTGTATGTTTAAAGCGCATGACTGAATTGGGAAATAAAGGTGAACGTTGGGACGTAATTTATCTAGATTTAGGGTAAGGATTGTATATCACACACTGGATTAACATACAAGGTCAGAAAGTACGGCATAAGGAACGAGCTACTGAAATGGATTAAAAATTGGCTTAAGGACAAGCAGAACCAAATATCTTTGGAACACAGAAGAAATTTGACTTTACTCTGTCAGTGAAGCTTGTCATGTGGCAGTGAAATGATATTGGCACATAATGTGTCTAGACAGCACATTTTAAAAATCCCAAAATACACATTTTTATTTCACGTGTCAAGGGTAACAGGCTTCAATGACAGAATGCAATGCTTTAAGTGAACAGTAATACTTCTAGCTGACCATCTTTTCAGTAAATAAAACTTTCTTCCTCTCCGAACTTAAAAAAAAATGCCAGAAAATGCCAACTACAAAATTGTAAGTGATAGATGGATGAAATTTGAAACAGCAACCATTAAAGAAAACCTGTTTACAGCAGAGAGAAAGCGCAGCTATTTCTGCTAATGAAACACATTACAGAGTTTGCCATTTATGGATTTTAATATTTCTGTTGCTCTGTGCATAACAACGTAGAATTTGTGGTCAATTTTAACTCACAGTCACTGGTCTTGTCTGCAATTAAATGCTCTGAATACAAGCAAACACACTTACCACGCTGAACTGCTACTAAAAGGCTATTTTCAGTATGCAAGTGTTAACTTTGGGGAAAGCCTGGTTTCTCAATTATGATATTAGCGTCATGGAAAGGTCTTAAGAAGCATTTTCCTGCCTCTATGCTATTCACAAAAAACTAACCCTGCACTCAGCTTTTCATTTCCACAACTCTTGTCAGTGTATTTCATACAAGACATAAAGAGTCCACCTCAAAGAGAACAGAAATTTCCAGATTACTTGGACATGGTACACTTCTGCTACAGCAATAAGTCAGCAGAAGTAATTGAATACTGAGTTCACGTAAGAGATGAACTTTTGAAAAGCCAATTTAAAACACAGTTATTGTACTTAATACCTACAGGAGATGCACAGCAGTTCAGCCAAACTAATGACTCTGTAGATTTCATCGTTGTCAGGAAGTGCACTGACCAACTCTTTAATGAAAAACCATTTCTTCCATTCTTTTTCTAATCTGTCGCTGAGAGCACAAAAACATTCTCATTTGTTCAGCTCGGGATCTATTTTGAGGCAGAGCAATCACCCTGTTTCCCATTATAGCTGATACATCTCTAATGTTGTGTGAGAATGGCAGAAGAGAATATCTTCAGCTGCATTCCAAAGAGAGAGACAAAAGCAAAGCAGTTCCAGAACAAGAGCAACAC